ATATATATATATATATATATATATATATACTGGTTTTAGGTACATTGTTATAAGCCAAAAGAAATTTTAAAATAAATCTTTGCATTTAGACTTTATTAATAGACTCTGTTAAAATTTTTCACCTTTGTAGAAAACTCTTATAAAACTTCTAAAGCTTTAGAATTATTTTAAAATACTCAAATTTGGAGCTTTTGATAGTCCTTGATTGGCTGAGTAGGGAAACTTAATTTTGGAGTTTGGAAAGTTTACAATAGGAAACATTTCAGTGAAGTAATTTGTGTAGAATGGTTCAAAACCTAGACCTCAATGAATTTCAAAGTAAATAACTTGAAGATATAATCGGATGAGAGTTTCAAATTAACTAAGCATGCACAATGATGGTGAATAATTTTTTAACTATTGTGGTGAGTTTCTTTACAATGGTATAGCAACAGGTGTCTGTGTGGATGATTTTAACCAGTAAGATATGTGTGTATAATAAATAATGTATATGACTGCTTCCTTATGTTCCTACAGGTACATCATTCTTCCTCAATAAGAGTATATTCCCAAATCTTGAGAACCAGCCCCACTTTTAGTCCAGTGTCACCCTGGTCACATTGAAAGTGACCTCCCCAGTGACCCTTATCCCCATATCCCTGGCTTTTCAACAAACTGGCTCTCTCACTAGTTAGGAAGTGTCCCAGGGATGAAATGCTGTTCTCTGGGTTAATCCACTGGGAGCTCTGGTGGCACAGTGCCTAAGGCACTTGACTGCTAACCAGAAGGCTGGCAGTTCAAACCCACTAAGCCACTCCTCGGAAGGAAGGTGGGGCAATTTACTTCCGTAGTGATATTGCCTCGGAAACCCAAGGAGGTGTTGCTATGAGTCGAAATCGACTCGACGGCAGTGAGTTTGGTTTGTTTTGGGTTCGTCCATCAAGCACAGAGACCAAAAAGCCTGTTCATTTTTCCCAGTCAGCTTAAGTTCAGGAATGCTGGATAACTGACAACCTGTCTTTCACAGACTTTCAGGAACAAATTTCTGTTGTAGTGGATACTGCCTTCCTTAAATGGAACATTTGAGTTTGTAGGTTATAGACTTCAGCTTTGTTTTCTGAGAAGGGCAGCAGACTCGTAGAGTCAGGAAAGGACGTGGGGTGTGCAGCGGTGGTGAGCACGGGGATTCCGCCTGATGGCAGGGAGGAGCAGGGGCATTTAGGCACTGAGTTACATTTGAATTGTGTGCCTTCTCTCCAGGAGTCTAGGAGATGCTCAGATCTGTGTGCTTAGAAAGAGGGCAGAATTTCACATTTTCATTCACAGAAAACTGTCTGGCTTCTTTGGCAGCTAACTCAGTGTGTTCTTTGACAGCATGCATGAGCACTGTAGTTACCACTTCCTAGTTTTACCTTCTGGAATCTTCTTGGTAGAATCATAAGTGATGTGTTTGCACATCGGACAAGAGATCATAAATGCTTTTCTGAAGAGTATTTTTCCTCACCAGTTACTATTTGTAAACATAGGAATGTTTATGTTACTTTAAAACAAGTGGTTTTTATAGTAGACAGTTTTGCCATGCTTTAAAAATTTTAAATTGATGTAACTGGTTAAGATTGAATTCTTTAGAAGAAACAATAGGGGGAATTCAAGAAACTCTTACCAGGTAAAAATGTCCTTTTATAAAATAGGTGTTTGAATATAAGCAGTATCTTATTGTCATTAACTTTTGATGCTTTTTTGAGAATTCTTTTCTGAATTTAGATGAATAGAAATGTCTAAGAAGAATATGAAAGAATACATGGAAGGGTAATGAGTAGAACTGATCAGATGACATATGGCTGCTTGTTTCGTAAATGTTTTATGTGCTTTCTCTTCTTCTCTGATGTTTACCATCAAAGGTCGGAGCATTGCTTTCCGTGGTGAACGAGGCAATGATGAATCACCTATCGAAATGATTAAAGTGTCTCATTTGAAGTAAGTGTCATCCTGAAAACCCCTATGGTTTTGTCATAATGAAATCTCATGGATTCTTTAAGTGAGTGGGGACATGTAGAATGCATGTAGAATTTCTTAGTGGGGGTTAATGGTGATATGTAGCCATAGCAAAAAAAAATCTTTGGATCACAAAACTAAGTTGCTACCACTTTTAATTCTGCATTTTACTAAAAAGATGAGGAAACTTATGTATGAACCTTAGCATTTCATGAGTTTGGTAAGACGAATAACCCAGTTTGTTCCATTATAGCTGAATTGATGTAAATGCGTAACGTCCACTAAGAAAATGTTATTTGTCACCTGATGAAGTTCTTGGCTGCATTTACACCACAACATGGGGCCATTGAGTGGAATAAACCTACTTGGTTATGATGTATTGCCCTTTTGATATATTGCTAGATTTGATTTGTTAGTATTTTATTGAGGATTTTTGTGTCTGTGTTCATGAAGGATATTGGTCTAGTTTTCTGTAATGTCCTTGTCTGATTTTGATAGCAGGGTAATGCTGATCTCATAGAATGGTTATGAAGATGTCCTCTTCTTTTGTCTGAATGAGTTTGTCAGACTTGGCATTATTTCTTCTTTAAATATGAACAATCATCTGGACTTGGACTTTATGGAATGGTTTTGAATACAAATACAATTTTTTTCCTATATAGAGCTATTCAGGTTATCCATGTTTTTTGTTTGTTTTGGTACTTGTTGTTCAAGGAGTTTGTCCATTTCATTGAAATTTTTTCATAATTATTATCCTTTTAATGCCTGCATAATCTCTAGTGATTCTCTTTCATTCCTGGTATCAGTAAATTATGGTGATCAATTTTATTGATCTTTTGAAAGAAACTGCTTTTTCTCAGTGGTTTTTCTGTTTTCTGTTTCATTGACTGTGACTTGTATCTTTCAATTTTCTTCTTTCTGCTTACTTTGGATTAACTGGGCTATTTTCTAGTTTCCTAAGGTAGATGCGTAGATGATTAAATTCAGAGTTTAAAAATTGAATAATAGCATTTAGTGCTATATGAGCACTATCCTTTTGTTGTATTCTACAAATTTCCAGTGGCCGGAACAGGTAAGGTGGGGTGGGGGACAGGCGCCAGGGAGCAGCGGCAGACAGGGCCAGTGGCCACAGGTAGTGGGTAGCCCAGGAAGTGAGCAGAGCAGTTGGAACAGCTAAGAGAGATGAACTTGTCTGTCGATTTGTTGTACTGTGGTGGCTTGCGTGTTGCTGTGAGGCTGGAGGCTGTGCCAGTAGCAGTGCCCACGGTAGACCAGTTTCGGTGGAGCTTCCAGACTGAGACAGACTCAGAAGAAGGAAGAGGCCATCCACCTCTCAAACCATTGGCCAGTGAAAATCTTATGAATAGTAATGAAACACTGTCTGATACATTACTGGAAAGTATTATGAATAGCCCTGAAATTTTGTCCAGTATTATGCCGGAAGATGAGCCCCTCAGGTCCGAAGGCACTCAAAATATGACTGGAAAAGAGCTGCCTCATCAGAGCAGAGCCTCCCTTAATGACATGGATAAAGTAGAGCTTTCGGGGCCTCCATTTGCTGAAGTGGCATGACTCAATATGAGAAGAAACAGCTGCAAACATCCATAATAACCGGAGCATGGAATGTACGAAGTATGAATCTAGAAAAATTGAAAGTTGTCAAAAATGAAATGGAATGCATAAAGATCACTATCCTAGGCATTAGTGAGCTGAAATGGACCAGTTTTGGCCATTTAGAATCAGACAACCTTATGATCTACTATGCTGAGAATGACAAATTGAAGAGAAATGGCGTGGAATTCATCATCACAAAGAATGTTTAAAGATCTATCCTAAAATACAGTGCTGTCAGTGATAAAATAATATCCATATGCCTACAAGAAAAGCCAGTTAATACTACTATTTTTCAAATTTATGCACCAACTACCAAAGCCAAAGATGAGGAAATTGAAGATTTTTACCAACTTCTGTAGTCTGAAATTGACCAAATACGCAATCAAGATGTGCTGATTATCACTGGTGACTGGAATGCAAAAGTCAGAAACAAAGAAGAATCACTGGTAGTTGGAAAATTTAGCCTTGGAGATAGAAATAATTCTGGAGATTGCATGATAGAATTTTCCAAGACCCACGGCTTATCCCTTGCAAATACCTTTTTTCAACAACACAAACAGCAGCTATACATGTGGACTTTGCCAGATGAAGCACACAGGAATCAGATCGACTACATCTGTGGCAAGAGGCAATGGAGAAGCTCAGTATCTTCAGCCACAAGGCCAGGAACTTATTGTGGAACAGACCGTCAACTGCTCATTTGCAAGTTGAAGTTGAAGTTGAAGACAATTAAAGTAAGTCCACAGAGCCAAAATATGACCTTGATTATATCACTCCTGAATTGAGAGACCATTTAAAGAATAGTTTTGATGCATTGAACACCAGTGACCGAAAACCAGAGGAATGGTGGGATGACATCAAGAACATCATTCATAGCTGAGAATATATCCATCCAGGAAGTCCAACGAACCCCAAACAGGATAGACCCCAAAAGAAAATCACCAAGACACATCATCATCAAACTCATCAAAACCAAAGACAAAG